CTGAAATACACGAGAAAGATACGCGGTCGATGATGCCCTCGTCCCCGGATCCAAACCGAGTACAGATCAGGCCCTTTTAATGACCTTGTCCAGTCTGTTTCTGTCTGCTGCTTTCATGTTACAGCTCCAACAGACCACAGCATAAAAAAGGACACTCGGCACAACAGATTTGTAAAACATCCGAAGAATGGTTTTACAGATGTTGAATGACCTGAGCCTTCTCAGAAAGTACAACCTGCTCTGTCCTTTCTTGTAGAGTGCCATTGTGTTAACTGACCAGTCCAGTTTGTTATCCAAATGCACTCCCAGGTATTTGTACTCAGAAACCATATCCACTGTCTCACCCTGGACAGATATAGCAGTCACAGGGGTACCACTTTTCCTAAAGTCGACCACCAGCTCCTTCAATTTCTTGATGTTGAGTTGTAGATGGTTACGCTCACACCAGAAAACAAAGTCATCTGGTACTCGGAGATGTCACCGTCCTTAATACATCCCACCATCACAGAGTCATCAGAGAACTTCTGTAGGTGGCATGATTCTGAATTATATTTAAAATCAGATGTATAGACGGTGAAAAGAAATGCAGACAAAACAGTCCCCTGAGGAGCACCAGTACTGCAGCTCACTGTGTCAGATACACAGTTTTGTAACTGGACATACTGGGGACAACAGGTTAGGTAGTGCATTATCCAGGAGACCATGTGAGCATCAATTTGCATGATCCTTAGTTTCTCCCCCAGTACTGCCGGTCGTATACTATTAAAGGCGCTGGAGAAATCAAAGAACATAATCCTAACACTGGTCCCAGGTAACTCTAGGTGGGAGTAGGTTTGGTGGAGCAGGTGTATAATAGCATCATCAACTCCCAAGAATGGCTGATAAGCAAACTGAAGAGGGTCAAGAGAAGACTTCACCTGGGAACGAAGTGTATCCAGGATAAGTCTCTCAAACACCATCATAATATGTGATGTTAGAGCGACGGGCCTGTAGTCGTTCAGGGCAGAAGCTCGTGGTATCTTGGGGACAGGAACAATGCAGGATGTTTTCCACAGAGCAGGGATTTTCTGTAGGGACAGACTCAGGCTAAAGAGGTACTGTAGGACCCCAGATAGTTGAGGAGCCTAGGTTTTTAGGACTCTTGGGTTGATTTTGTCCAGACCTGCAATTTTTGTAGAGCAAAGTCTGCTCAGACCTGGTCATCTGAGATGTTGATAGATGGAATTGCCGAAGCAGTAATGGCCGGTTTCTGTGCGGGGGTAGATGGGAGAGCAGGGGAGCCTGTATTAACCCTTAGGAGTCGGCGGACCCGCCGGCGGGGACACTTGCATTTTTTTCTGGTAACCGTGAAAAGAACTTAAAATGCGTCGTCATGTTTGATCATACACGTAAGTGTAGTACATCATTTTAATCTGTAAATTGTCTACTTTTATTCATGTATACTCACAATATCCACGAAATATTGTGCTTTTGTAAAATAAAGAAAATAAACAGGGTGCGCTTTCAGCTGTCTCAGTCTC